CTTTGTCCACGAATGTTCACCGCGTTCCGGACCGACGACGAAGCCCAAGTAAGTTGCGTACCGGCGGATGGTGAAGTCGCTCCACGTGGGCGCGGCCACTTGGAGACGCTCTCTCACGCGGTCGGTTGATTCCAGTGCCAATGGAACCCAAACCGTTTTTCCGTGGTGTAGTCGCAGCCCCGACAGTCGCTCGTACTCGTCGAAAGTGTGCTCAAGAATGGAAGCGCCCCCCGTCCCGCGAACCAGGCCGACGGCCAGGTCGTCGGCGTAGGCGCGAGGAACGGCGTCTGGGATGAGGCGCGGGAGCCTCCGCAAAAGAACATCCGAAAGCACGGCGAAGAGGAGCGGGGAGAGGGGGCAGCCCTGGCGGACCCCCGCGGTGAGCTCGAAGCCGTCGAAAGTGGACCCGCCGTGCGCGATGCGGCACCTGTTGTTCCGATACAGCGCTTGGATGAAATGCGCGCACCATGGCGGCCAACCCCGGGCCGCGATGACATCAAGAAGGAACTCCTGGCCGACGCTCGGGAAGGCCGCCTCGAAATCGAAGAAGACCATGGCGGACGAGTCGCACTTAAGCGAGTGGTGGAGCATGAACTCTTCGACGTCCATGAGGTTTGCAAGCATCGAGCGCCCATGCAGGAACCCCCGCTGGCAATCGGAGACCCCGGGGGCAACGGTGGGCTCAATGTACATGCGGACCGCGCTGCATATAATTCTGTTGTCTGTATTCGTGATGTTCAAGGGCCGCATGTTCGAGGGGACATAGAACTCGATGCCGTCTCCAGTAATGCCTGATGGCTTCTTGGGGAGGAAGACCATGGAGCTCTCATTGAACGAGTCCCAGTCCGAGTCCATCAGCGCCGCGCCACTGGGGCTGGCGATGGCCAGGAAGGCCTCGTACAGAGCTCTCGTCGCGAAGCCGCCTAAAGCACGCCATGCGCGGAACGGGATCCCATCTGGTCCAGGAGAGCTGTTGCTCGTGTGCTGGACCGCTCGCTCGAAGATCTCGAAGGGCACGGCGACGCCGGGCACGCGCTGGCGGTCTGCCAGCGAGGCGTGCGAGGCCTCGTCTGCAAGCCAGGTGCGGCGCAAGGTTGTGTCCGTTTCCCGTCTGCGGAAGACCCCAGACCAATGGTCGCGCAGAACTCCTGCGATGTGCTCTGGTGATGTGCTCACGTGGCCAGCGCTGTCACTGAGCGCGTAGTGGGAGCAGCCGCGGCCAGGAGACAAGCGTGTAAGAAGACGATGGTTCTGATGTCGCCGCTGCGCCGCCTGCGCATCGGAGAGGTCCTTCAAGTCGGCGTGGGGCCTGCCCAGCTCGTCGATGGCGTGATCGCGAGCAAGGTCGGCAGCGTGAACTCGGATCAGCCGGAGGCGACGGCCAGGGCTCGTGTGGAAGTCGTAAGGGTTGTCCACGAGATCCTTCAAGATGGGATACCGCTGGATGCATTGGCTGACGCCGCCTGCCGAGCCCTTTTCTGAGGCGCGGAGGAATTTCATGGTGACCCCGAGGCGATCCTCGTGCGCAAGCGGGCCCGGCGGACCCGAAGCCTCGAAGCCGAAGTTCTTGGCGGCCTCGCGCATGGCCCGCTTGAGTAGCACGAGCCGCCGTGGAGGCGAGGCGGAAGGTTCGCTGTCCAGCATCTCCTGCCACGCGAGCGCCACTCTGCGCGGCCATTCGGGGTGATCCAATGTGAGGTCCGATATCGGGGCGCATGAGTCGGGTTCCCGCTGCGGCAGTGAACGCCGAAAGCTGACGGCTCTATGTCGAGATAGCTCTGACTGCCACTCCAATGCAGCGCAAATTAGCTTCCGATCAAAGCCTTCCACCACGGCCTGATTACAGTAAATGCGGTCCAGGCGCGATCGGGACGAAGGCGAAGCATACGTCATGTCGGGCTGGTGGAGCTCGTGGAGGCCATGAGGAAGTCCCAAATGTCGGTGCCAACTTGCCTCTTCCCCGCGATCCCGCCCACCCGTGACGGCAGCGGTGGAGGTGCAGCGTCTGTCGCAAACGTCCGCAACATAGTTGAAGTCTCCTCCGAGGATCGTGAGAACCTGGTCCCTGGAAGCGATGTGCCGCGAAAGCCGCCGTCGGAGAGCGTCTCGGAGTTCGGGGAAAAATGGGGGGCGGCCCAGGTGAGACAGCCCTGCAGCCTCGATGTCTTCTGGGGAGGCGGCAGCACCAGTGTGGAAGTATACGACAACAACGTCCAGATTGCCACTGGGGCCTCGCAGATGTAGTACTGCAGCACGACCCGGGAGAATGATCTGCCAGTGAGGGTTCGCCGCAAACTGCTTGAGGAAGGAGTTCTTGATCGTCACCCCCACTCCTGCCCTGGCGGGCGTGGGGCCTGGTGACCACCAAGATGTGCAAGCATCGGGATTTCTCCACACCTCATTGCCTCCATTGGACCCGTGCGTCTCGGTCCAGAGGCCGATATCGTGGGTGGCCATCAACTTCCTCACGTAGGTCGCCTTCCGGCGATGACGGCCGGGGTCCGCGGCGAAGAGGGCCTGGGTGTTCCATGTGATGACGGAGACATCGCCGAGGTACGGGCTGTGGGCGAGCGAAGGCTGACCTCTGGGTGCGCGAGTGCGTGGAGGCAGCGCTGCAGGGAGCGCACTGGGGCGCAGCGCGCGCCGAAATGCGTTCTGAAGCCGAATCTGGACCGGAACGTCCGTCATGGAGTCGTCGGGCAGCTGATCCATAGAGGTAGAAACATGATGAAAAAGATGAAGAAGTGCAAGTGCAGGTAGCTGAGTAGATGTACGCCGAGAACGTTGAGAAGAAGGTGACGAAGAACAAGACGACGTGATATGCCCACTCATGCTGTAGGGAGCGCGGCGCTGGGAGCCCGGGCCGGCACTGGCCGGTTGGAGCTCGAAGGCGACGTCCACGAGCCAACATGAGGTACCCTTGCAATCAAAAATCTGAATTCCATAGCTCGTCGAAGGCGCTGAGGAGGTCACGCGGCGGCGGGGGAGGCAGCCCCCTGCCCCCCCCGCCGCCTGTTTCCCGGCAGGGTGCGAGAGTCCTGGACGTCGTTGGACACCCTGATGGCCAAGAAGTCCACGCCGACCTGGAGCACCTGACCATGCAACGAGCGATACACCTGCTGGACATCTTCCTGTGAGTGTAGGTACACGCGTGCGCGGCCAGGATGAGCGCTAGCGGACAAGTGGCTTCGATTGGAAAGCCCCATAAAAAAAAGGGAATCCTTTAGAAAACACTACAAGGGGATTCGATTGGAAAGCCTCAAAGTAGGAATCCTTTGGAAAGCACCACAAGGGGATTCGATTGGAAAGCCTCACAAAAAAAAAGGAATCCCGTGGAAAGCACACAAAAGGATTCGATTGGAAAACCTCACAAAAAATTCTTTGGAAAGCACAGCAAAAAGATTAGATGGGAAAACCTCACAACAGGGAATCCTTTGGAAAGCACAACAAAGGGATTAGATTGGAAAGCCTCGCAAAAAGGGAATCCTTTAGAAAGCACCACAAAAGAGATTTGATTGGAAAGCCTGACAAAGGGATTCGATTGGAAAGCCTCACATAAGGAATCCTTTGGAAAGCACCGCAGAGGGATCCGATTGGAAAGCCTCACAAAAAGGAATCCGTTGGAAAACACAACAAAGGGATTATATTGGAAAGCCTCGCAAAAAAAAAGTAATCCTTTGGAAAGCACAACAAAAGGGATCCGATTCGAAAGCCTCACAAAAGGAATCCTTTGGACAGCGCCACAAAGGGAATCGATTGGAAAGCCCAACAACAAATACCCTGTGACGTACCCAACCCATTTGTATCATGGGAAACGAGGAATTGGCCGAAACTTGCATGGACAATCAAATTGCAGGATCCGTTGTTTGATATGTAAACTACTTGGGACACGCGCCTATGGCATGAAGCGCAAGAGAACCATGCAAGAACGAGGGGCGACACCTACAGGCTCGAAGAGGACATGGGGAGTCGGGAACGAAGAGCTGGAGAAAGACGTGCGGGAAGCCCACTGTGCTGGGCCCCCCAGCAGGCTTCGAAAGTGGCGACAGTTTCACAGATCGCAGCCCCCCAGGGATGGCGAGGTCTAATTTCAGTCCGCGGTGTGTACTCTGTGCTGGGCCCCCCAGCAGGCCTCGAAAGTGGCGACGGTTTCACAGATCGCAGCCCCCCAAGGATGGCGAGGTCTAGTTTGAGTCTGCGGTGGGTACCCACTGTGCTGGGCCCCCCAGCAGGCCTCGAAAGTGGCGACCATTTCACAGATCGCAGCCCCCCAGGGATGGCGAGGTCACATTTGAACCCGCCGTGGGTACCCACTGTGCTGGGCCCCCCAGCAGGCCTCGAAAGTGGCGACAGTTCCACAGATCGCAGCCCCCCAGGGATGGCAAGGTCTAATCTGAACCCGCGGGGTGTACCCACTGTGCTGGCCCCCCCAGCAGGCCTCGAAAGTGGCGACAGTTTCACAGATCGCAGCCCCCCAGGGATAGCGAGGTCAAATTTGAACCCGCCGTGTGTACCCACTGCGCTGGGCCCCCCAGCAGGCCTCGAAAGTGGCGACGGTTTCACAGATCGCAGCCCCCCAAGGATGGCGAGGTCTAATTGGAGGCCGCGGTGTGTACCCACTGTGCTGGGCCCCCCATCAGGCCTCGAAAGTGGCGACAGTTTCACAGATCGCAGCCCCCACCAAGGATGGCGAGGTCAAATTTGAACCCGCCGTGTGTACCCACTGCGCTGGGCCCCCCAGCAGGCCTCGAAAGTGGCGACGGCTTCACAGATCGCAGCCCCCCAAGGATGGCGAGGTCTAATTGGAGTCCGCGGTGTGTACCCACTGTGATGGGCCCCCCAGCAGGCCTCGAAAGTGGCGACAGTTTCACAGATCGCAGCCCCCCAGGGATGGCGAGGTCAATTTCAATCCGCGGTGTGTACACTGTGCTGGGCTCCCCAGCAGGCCTCGAAAGTGGCGACAGTTTCACAGATCGCAGCCCCCCAGGGATGGCGCGGTC